ATATATATGTATATCACGAGTCACGGGATATACATATATATTGGCTTTGGCTTATCTCCTTGCTTCAGGTTGTGATCACAAGTTACCAGAAAACTCTAAAATGACAATATGAAGAATAGATTAACATATAAATGAAGATTTAAAGTTATGATTAGACAGAGTAACAAGGAGATAAGCTGTGTATGAAGAATTTGTAAAATCCCTATATTGATGCTTAATCTGATGTTTCTTTTGCTTTGATGATATGGTCTGATCTAATCCTGATTTGTTTGATTTGATTATATTTGTGTTATTTGGAAATGTAGATGCCAATTTGATTGATTACATTGTTAAATTTATTTTGATTTGCTTGTTTTATTAGAGTAAAAAATTGTAGCATCATATTTGCTATTTTTAGTATATCCTATTTTTTAAGGTTTTTTTTTTTTTTCTCTTTCTTCTTTAGTTCAAAGATTGCAAAAACTGTGGGGCCACTATTTTGTGATAGAGATTCTCATCAGTTCACAACTTTATTCAAATCAATTTGTAATTATTAAAATTTTGAACTTTCTAAGGCTGCTAAAAAAAAAAAAGAAACAATTTATTACTGATATACATTATTGTAACAAAGCAAAACAAAGTTTACAACAGTTGATGCTGATCATTGAGTTGAATTTATTAGTTTATCGATAAAATTAACCTAATACACTAAACCCAGAAAACATTTTCTTTGTCTGCACTATGTTCTGCTTCAATTGGCTTGAAGTATTCTTCTATGGTTTTCTTCCACAATAACTGTAAATTAGAATAGAAACTCTCATGAGCTAAATTCATATGTGGCCTTGAGAAAAATGTAAGCCCGTTTGTTTAAGATTGTGGAATTTCTTGTGAGATCTTGTGTTCAACTTTGTTGTTGTCAAGACCAGTAGTTAAATGAATGTCTCCCTTCCTAGCCAACCACCAATGCAGTATTCATTAAAAAGAAAAATCATGAAACCAAGAATTTGGATCATAATGTTATTTGTTATTAGACATCGTCTCAAAGCGTGCTTAGATTTGAAGCACTGAGTTACTTAAGATGCTGAAAGTGGCAATGCATTATCTTTGTGACAGATTTTATGTTCTTGTGATTATCTATGATGTCTCTGTCTTCTGTGTTTTCCCACCTTCAAGTTGTAATTTTTTCTGTTTGGTGGATCTGCAGGTATGTGAGCAGCCTTGGTAATAAGAGAGTTGAACTCTTTGATATGGAAGCAGGTGCTAGTGATCCTACAGCAGATGATAATGTTCAAATGGAGTCAAGTGAGATTAGGACCCTCTTCATGTCTGCATCTGAACAATTTGTTGAGCATGGTGTATTATTTTGAAAAGAAAAGTTGTTCATGTGCTCTATGCTTCTCATGTTTGTTGTTATTGAATGCCCCCGATATGATTCGTGGCTTATTTGTTTTTGTTGTTAATTTGTTTTCTGCAAATTAGTAATTTTTAGGCCCTAAGTTCTATGATTAGCAGCTTGGACTTTTTCTGCTATTAAGAACTTCTTGGTGGTAGAATCCTATTATATTTCTGTTGGAATTGAAATCTGCCTTCACCTCTTCTGTAGCTAGTAGCCAATGAATGTAATGATGTTAATGGGTGTGAATTATGATTGTTGCATATGAAATGAGTACAGAAACGAAGTCATTGGATAATTTTTGATTGGTAATCTATTTGAGAGTTTGGCCTATTCTATGCAGGTTCTGAAAGCTTGTGTCAATTTGAAGCTTGAGAATTGAATGCCATTTCAACGAAGCCATTGAGAAGAAGATGCGATGAGTTGAGTTGTTTTGTTATGTAGGTAGATATAACTCTAATTACAATCTGTTCATTGAATAGTTGAATGCTACAAACAATGCTTATGACACTAGCCTTATAAATTGGAAATGATACTTTTGAAATCTCTATCAATTTATGATATACAATCAAGATATTACATACTAATGAATCAAAGTATGGTATTTGTTTGTTATTGAAATATCTTTTAATTAAGCCTCTTTGAATGTGATAAGCATTTTTTTTTCCATGTAGTTGAATTTTAATTTGGAGATGAGTAGATGATCTGGTGATATGTTTGATATTTTCTGTTTGGTTGTTGAGAAATCAAGCAAGGAATATAGGTTGATGTTCAAACTAGTATTTTTAGATTAATTGTTACAAAATCAAAAGGCCAAAAAAAAAAAAAAAAAAATTATCAAACTTTTAGAGACCAATTTTAGTTGTCTCAAAAAAATTATAACCTTTACATAATACTTTCATTTGTCCCAAAAACTAAAACTTTTAGAAACCACTTTCATTTGTCCCCAAAACTAAACTTTTAGAGACTAATTTCTATTGTCTCAAAAATTAATTTCATTTGTCCCAAAAACTAAACTTTTAGAGACCAATTTTTGTTGTCTCGAAAATAAATTTTGTTGTCCCCATAATAATTAGATTTTTAGAGACAAATTTTGGTTGTCTCAAAATCAAAACTTTTCGCAACTATATATTTTTGTCTCTAAAAGTATATTTATAGTGACAAATGCAAAATTTTGTCTCTAAAAGTCATTTTTTGACTTTTCCGGACTGACCATTTGGGACAAACTTCGCGACGGAGGAAATTAGTTGGCTAAAGTTTTTCCCAACAAATATTACGCTTTTAAAGACAGAATAAATTTGTCCCTAAAAGCTGATTTCTTGTATCCTTTCTCGCATAAAGAGAGAGAGAGAGCGAGAGAGAGCTCCTTGTCTTGCTCATTCAATTTTGAAGTTCATTAAGGTACTATGTGACATCCCTTACAAAAGTGCATTTTTTTTTATTATCTTTTTATCTTTTTGGGAAATTTAGCTATAAACCCCTTTTACCTTCCTTTTATTGTTAAAAGGACTAAGAAAAAAATTATACTTTCTAAACCCCCTCATAATTATAAAGTCTTTCCTAAAGGACAAAATTTATTATTTAAATATTTTATATGACTATTATACCCTTAACTAATTCTTCTCACTCTCTTCCCCACCCTCTTATACTTGATTGGTTCGAGTTAACCCACTGTTTTGCAGTCCTCATTATCGGAAAGGCGGTGGAATAAGAATCTGATTTTTCATGTTCATCGTTGTCAGGAGCTTTTCATACTCATCCAAATACGCAGGTCACTCCATGCTAAACTTTCTTTTTGCTTTTGATAATTTCTCGAGAAACAAACAAGCCAAATATACAAAGCACCAACCAGATCAAGAGCTTTATCTATACTTCCGAAATTGAACATAAATAGACCTCAAAAGTATAATTCTCTCTTTTCCTTCTCTCTTCCATTCCTAGGGTTTGGATTGAATTCGTTCGGAGCTCTCGTGATTTCAACCAAAACTGTGAATATATCTCTATATATCTATATATATATATATATATATATCTACATATTCCGATCTCTAATCTATATATATGTGTGTTTTGAGTCTTTAAAATCGCAGATTTGAATGATTGCATAGATCGGTCTCGGCGATCATTTGATTCGAACTCAAAAGCTCAAAGATGTAAAGTAGAATCTGAAAATCTGTGTATGAAAAATCTCAAGATGTTTGAAAGCTCAAAGTTTCAAAAATCTGAAAAATCTGTAAAATCTGAAGAACCGGAGTATGAAAAATTGATATTTCTCTAAAATTTTCAAATTATAAGCCTGATTCAATGATTATAGGCATGATTCAATGTTTTTCAAAGTAAACATCGATTGATTCAAGGATTATAGGCCTGATTCAAAGCTCATAGCTCAAAGTTCCATCGATTTTTCAGAGTAAACATCAAATTTCATTTGATAGAACCAGAGTAAAATTTTACTCTGGTTCTATCAAATGAAATTTGATGTTTACTCTGAAAAATCGATGGAACTTTGAGCTATGAGCTTTGAATCAGGCCTATAATCCTTGAATCAATCGATGTTTACTTTGAAAAACATTGAATCATGCCTATAATCCTTGAATCAGGCCTATAATCTGAAAATTTTAGAGAAATCTCAAATTTTCATATCCCGGTTCTTCAGATTTTTCAGATTTCAGAGTGTAAAATTTTACTTTCATACAGAGTAAAATTTTACTTTTAGTTTCAGAGTGTAAAATTTTACTTTCATACAGAGTAAAATTTTACTTTTAGTTTCAGAGTGTAAAATTTTACTTTCATACAGAGTAAAATTTTACTTTTAGTTTCAGAGTGTAAAATTTTACTTTCATACAGAGTAAAATTTTACTTTTAGTTTCAGAGTGTAAAATTATTGTGTATTTCAGAGTAAAATTTTACTCTGAAATACATAGTGAAAATGTCTTAATAGGAGAGCTGATAGATATGAGGATAATATAGTAAAAGAAACAAGTTTTAAAATATCAGGAGGTTTTGAAAGTATTTATATACTTCTTGTCCTTTTGAAAGAGAAATTAGATAGTGAGGGGGCTATGACCAAATCCCCCTATCTTTTTTAAGTTATATCATCTTTCTATTTTTTGTGTATCTTTTCGTAAAAAAATCAAAAAATATATTTATTTAAATCATTCCAAACACCCTCTAAAATTGTTTATGCTCTCGCTCTTGTTTCTTCCTCCGCCCTTCCTTTCCTCTTTTTTCCTTTTTATTTATTTATTTTATTTGTCTTTTTTCTTTTAATGCCAAGCTTTCATGTCATGAGGGGTCAGACATGTATAACCTTGTATTTAATTCCCATATGTGTCTGTATATATATATAGATATGTATATATAGGATCAGTAGTAACGTGGATTACACACTAGTGTATATGATGAGGGATGGTTAATTTTTTCACAACCACCAAATACAAAAGACGTAAACATAAACTGGTTAGTTAGGCTCCCCAAAGAAATTACACAGACAAACGGCTCTTAGCTTATTAGACTTGCAAATTATGTAGGTAATCCATCTCACTCACTCTCATTCTGTGGCATTGGAAGCCAAGGGAGGACTCCAATATATAAACCCCCAGCCCACCCTCCCTTCCTATCCGCATAATTGTTCCATACATACATATCTATATATCTCTCTCAAATGGATCCAGCAGCAGCAGGAGGAGGTGGAGAGAATAAGGCAGAAGTGGCAGTGAAAAAAGCAAAGGGTTGGGTGGGTTGGGTGATTCCATTGCTGAGGGTGGTTGCATTCTGTGCGACTGTATCAGCAACAATTGTAATGGCACTTAACAAACAAACCAAAACCATGGTTGTTGCCACTATTGGAACCACCCCTATTACGGTCACTCTCACCGCCAAGTTCCAACACACCCCTGCATTTGTGTATGCCCCCTCCTGCCCCCCTTTCCTTTCCTTTCCTTTCCTTTTTAACATCTCATTCATTCTTTCTTTTCTCTTTCCTCCATATTATATTATTTTTGGAGATGATGATGATGAGGAACCGTTCACATCACATTAAATTTGAACTTATACATTAATTACATCATACACTTTATTTTCATATTACTTTTTGATAAATTTTGTCTGTACATATACACGAAGCAAACTGTGAAAAGTAGTAAGAAAGGTGATGTAATAATTGTTGATATAAATATACAGGTTCTTTGTGATTGCTAATGGCATGGCCAGCCTCCATAACTTGTTGATGCTAGTGTTGGAATTATGTGGTCACAAGTTCGATTTCAGGGGACTCCGCCTGGTCACCATTCCCATTTTAGACATGGTATGGTATATTTAAATATAGGAATATGAAATCCAAGGTCCCAGCTGTGACCTTTGGCAGGTCCATTCTAGATTTATGTTCATGATCTAATTTGTTCATCTTGTAAGTATCGCAAGACAAATAATTTATGTAAAAAATCATTTTGATCAAATATCAATAATTACATGCTCATAACACATAATCTCAAACTAAGTAAATACTCTATTTGTAAAATTATATTTGCAGTTTCTTTATTTTAAAAAAATATGTCTCTATCATGTGATTAAATAATATCCAATGAAACTAAATTTTCGCATGGATGATCTGCTCTGCGATTTCTATAAGATGCATAATTTAGATCATGGAAATAGGCTTGGGACAAGCCGTACTGAGGGTCACACAGATCTGTTTTGGATCATTTTTCTTTTTAGATTTGAAATTAATGTCCGAAAGCTCATTTTGTTGTTGTTGTGTATATGCATGAATGAATGAATGAATGAATCAGATGATAGCCAGTCTATTGTCAGCCGGGGGAAGTGGGGCAGCATTCATGGGAGAGCTGGGGAAGAATGGGAATTCACATGCAAGGTGGAACAAGATCTGTGACAAATTTGACTCCTTCTGTGACCATGGAAGTGGCGCCCTCATAGCTTCCTTCATCGGCCTCCTCTTCTTGATCCTCCTCAATGCCATCTCCATCTTCAAACTTCGAACCCTCAACTCTCTCACTTATTCTGTTGTCCCCTGAATCTCATGCACTGGACTGCATCACTCCTCTCCTCTCTCACCCTTATAATTCTCTTCCTGTTTTCCATTTTTGTGTTTACTTAATTAGTTTACTACTTTGCATGCACTGGACTGCATCACTCCTCTCCTCTCGCCCTTATAATTCTGTTCCTGTTTTCCATTTTTCTGTTTACTTAATTAGTTTACTACTTTGCTCTCTCTTTAATTAGTTTACTACTTTGCTCTCTCTCTCTCTCTTTCTAATAAAATATAAGAATAATATTAGGGATCGTGAAAAAAATATCATGAAATATTTCATGAAGATTTTTCATCCCTTGAATAGTGTGTGGTATTTTCTTGTATGTGTAATCTAACGGTGAAGAATATTTCATGATATGTAACATAACTCTTAGGCCTAGTTTAGGAAGACTAAGGGGTTGTTTGGGGTGTTCTAAATAAGTGCACTTTTTGTCTTTTTGGACTAAAAAGTTGAGGGAAAAAATATAGATGTTTGGGTTAACTTTTTGACTTTCTATGAAAAAATGTGTAATAAAAAATTGTAAAAATTGATTTATAGGGAAAAATTCGAATTTAAGATTGGGAGTTGTGCAGCCGTAATTGTTGACTTTTGGTGAATAGTGTTAACTTTTTAACTTTTTGAGTAGCTTTTTGACTTTTTGGATTATTTCATACTACCCAAACTTGGCCTAAATAAGTGCACTTTTTGACTTTTTATGAAATATGGGTTGGGTTTGGGTTGAGTTTGAAGTGATGTGTTAGAGAGGTGATGTGACTTAAATAAGATGACGTGACTTAAATAGGATAGTGACTTTTTGACTTTTTATCTTTTTTGTCTCATGCCAAACTTGACCTTAGTTTGTGGCTCAAAAGTCTCGTTTGAAATGGATTTTTTAGTTTTTTTTGACTTTTGTAAGAGAAAAAATAAAATGATTACGGTTTGAATGTAACATTTTGTCTTATTGAACTAAAAAGACTATTTTATCTTTTTGTAATTATTTTAGCCAAAAAAATCCCATTTTAACCTTTGCGGAACGAAAGCTTAATTAGAAAATGAGTAATGCTATAGTGAATATTTAATTATTTGATGCGCAGTACTATAAAAGAAATATACATGAATTATAAAACCCAATACACTAATATATTGTATTAATAAGGCCTAGTTTGGAAAGACTAAATAAGTGCACTTTTTGACTTTTTTTGTATTATGTGTAGAAAAAGTAGAGAGGAGATATTGATTGATGTGACCCAAAAAAGATAAAAAAATAAAAAGATGAAATAAGTGCACTTTTTCCTTTGTAGCCAAACTTGGCCTAAGTAAGATGATAAGTATAAGATCATACCAAAAAATATATATATTATAAATAGTGTTATTGGTACAGAAGTCTTGGGTAAATTACAAATGCATTCCCTGAGTTTGTTTAAAATACAGGTTATCCCTTATAATTTGAAAAATTACAAATACATCTTTTATTAGAATTTTTTATTTAACAGAATTAACTAAAAAAATAAAATTCATAATTACTCTCCTATACAATAACAAAATTACCTAAATTATTAATTGAAATATATTTCTAACATATTAAAAATTGTTAATTGATTTGACGATTTATTAATAAAAATAGCGATTTGATATGAAATTAAAAAATCCAAAGGTTGGAATGTAATTTTTAGAATTACATGGGACGATTCGTATTTTAATTAAATCTCAGGAGATGCATTTGTAATTTATCCTGATACCTTTTACCGAAAATTAAACTCCATGTCTAATGCTTCTAGTTCAAAGTAATAATGGATAGTATAGTATGAGTCAATAGATCAAGATCTTTTACTATAAATCTATATGAATGATTTTGTTTTATTAATTCAATGATTTAAAACATAACAATGCTATTTTTAAAATACGTGTGCTAAAATGGGGTAAGACCAGGCATGACTTGCCATACATATAGACATTATTACAAAGGCAGACAAACTGAACTTGTCATAATCTTTGAAATTATATAACTTGGTGTCATATATATAGACACTGTTACAAAAGCAAACAAACTGAATTTGTCATAATATTTGAAATTACATTATTCAATAATTTTGTCTTTCTAAATATATATAAGATAGAGAAAGAGGAACAAAAATTATGAAAGGAAAAAAGAAAAAGGCGAGTATCTTGTGTTTTTGAAGGATGTATATGTATTGTATGAAAACATAGTGAGAGATTGAGACATATTCATTTACAAACTTACGTTCCAAACAACACCATCTCCTTCTCCACACGTATTGTGAACATTTTTCATTCTCTCCGCGGATTTGCATATTCCACTGCATGACCAATCAAATGATGCCACACATACATTCCCTGCTTCTGCCTTCCATTCACAATCTATATATATATATATATATAAGTAGTTGATCAAGATAATTTCATTTAAAGGTCAAAAAAGTTGATGGAAAAAAATAATAAATTATTTGTACATATACCTGGAGGGCTTCCACAGCACATAGAACGATGGTCAACATGTTCAACTTCTAAGCCAATGAACCATGACCCCAATGACACGTCCTCATTTGCATATCTATGCAAAATGGGCCTATATATACATTCCATATATATTATCAGTCCTTCAATACTCTTCTATATATTAAGAATTTGAAACATAATGTAGAGAGATATATATAATATAATAGTAGTACTAACGAGTTGATAGAGATGTAAGTTGCGAGGTCATTGGAAATTGCATAGATTTGACCGGTAGCATGTCTAAAGTACTTGTTCCCTTCTTCCCCAAACTTCCAAAATTCTGGCTCGTGATATTTTGCCCCTCTACAATAACATCCCAAACTATTTACTATAAAGTAAAATAATTTGCTAAATATATGATGTCATTGCAGCATTTTTAAGAATAAAATTCATGCAATTAGAATTATGAAAATCAAATCGATATAGGAGGCAAATTAACTATGAATATGTAATTTGTCTTTATAATTAAATAAATATAAAAAAGTTATATATATATATATACATTACGTCTACCTGATGAAGACTAATTACAAATCAAGATAATTTGAATTATAGATTCACCATATCATACGATAGATATAGGTACATAAAAAATGCAATTTCTATATAAGAATTACGTTAACATAAAATTATCCTCCAACAAATTAATTATAACTTACATTCTAGAGTGAACTGGTCCAGACTTCATACATCCAATGTAGATCCTGGGTTTCGACCGATACTGCGCTAGCGTACTCGCTAGCATACCTATATATATATATATATATAACATAATATTATTAAAAGTGTAAAAGAAAATCAACAGGAAGAAAAAAAAAAAAAAAAAAGGGGAGGAGAAAGTGAGATACCCAAATTGACATGGACATCATCATCCACCTTAACATAGAATTGAGCATCCCAGATTGAGAGAGCGGTGGAGAAATACAAGCGAGTCTTGGTGGAGAGCCTATGGTAGGCCTCCACGTGGTTGAGGCGAAGGAAGTCATTATACTCAACCTCCTCTTCGTCGATCGCTCCATCAAGGACTCCTCCACCAGCACCACCACCCGGTGTGGCACTGTATCCTATTACAAACCTTATTATGATCCCTTTCTCTTCCTCCAATTTCCTTAGCTTCTCTCCTGTTTCATTTTACTCCATTAAAAAAAAAAAAGGGGGTTAAAAGTGATTGCGACAATTGAAAGTAAAGGAGGTAAGGTGGATCAGATGAGATAGACATAGATAGATGAGATGAGATGAGATGAGAAGGAATTAAACCTGTGGGCATCCAAGTTTGACGAATAGAATCTCGTCGTCTCTTGCTGCTGAAAGCAGTATTAATTCCGATGACCACAAATGCTTTCTGTATTTGATTTTGATGAGTCCTATTGGATTCCTTTTCTGATGATGAAAGTTGACTGCCTAGTCTTCTTGTTCGACCTACCGCCGCCAATTCCATTTCCAACGTTGATATTGTTTTGTCCAGTGATCTGCATACATGTTTATTACACACACACAAACAAAAGCGCAAAAAAAAAAAAAAAAAAAAAAAAAATAGAAGGAGATATCTCATGAGATTGTAAACAGTAAACACACAATTAATGTTCCAAAAAGATCATATCTTAACTGGATAGCTTGATGCGTCTTGGTTACTTCTCTCATAATATCGCCTGAACTACTACTACCTTCAACCAATTCCTGATCCAACAACAATAATATATTTGCTCAGAATATTCAATATAGACGCCAAAGTGAAAGTGATTGTGGCAATTCTAAGCAAAAGAGATCAAAATGCAGCACTGCCCCACACTCACACCCACACCCACTTGCAAGCCTTTGCAATTGTATGTGGCTATAGGCTTATTCGAACCGCACAATCCGTTCAACTCGAATCGATTCGTATACAAATGGATGGTTTTGTAGACACAATACAGGCAGATGCGGTTTGAAATATGACATGAATGCGAGATGCGAGTTTAACCCGCACTCACAAGAACCCGCCTGCACTTAAGACTTTTTTTTTTTTTTTTTTTTTTTTTTTTTTTAACCTGGACCGTTGTTATTTTATTATTACATTTTGAATGAATGTAAAAATTAATAAATAATTACTTTTAGGTAAGCTTAGGATTTTGAATGATTTTATTTTAATTGTATTGTTGAATAGTAAATAGTGAATGAGATCGATGATCTAGTTTAGGATTTTGAAAGATGTGCTTGTGTTAGTTTATGATTTGATTTAAAAACTAGGATTTTGAATGATTTGTTTATGTTAGGAATTGATTTTGTTATGTTTTTAATTTTATAAGTTTTAATTAATTAATAATTAATATTGGAGCATTTTAAAAAAAACGAGACAAGGGCCCAAAATAAATATTTACAAAATGGGAAAAAAAAGAATCCAAAATAAATTTTAAAGAAAAAAGTCAAATCCTCAAACCGCCCGCACATCCGCGAATCCTATCCGCATAAACCGCAACCCGCACTGCGGGTAGTTGTGGGTTGAATTTTTCTTAAACTGCATACATGCGGACAGATCTAAACCGATTCACAAACCGTTTGAAATTGAACCGCAACCACCCCCAAGTGTAATGCCTCAAATATCATATTTTATTCCTACAAATTGAATGAACAAAACCAACAATCAATAGTTAAATTGGCAAATGGAGAGTTTTGAGCCATCAAAAAATTATTGGTTAATCTAAGCATTACGTAGTCATATTCTTAGTCAATCATAAACTTTCATATCTCTTACGTTCCTTAATCATCTGACGTAAAATTATAAATCTTGCCCCTCCATCATCTTGGGCACCACGTGGTTGTAGCCCAGGACCGAAGAATAACTTCTCCGAACCATCTCACATATTCATCATCGGACGATCTTCCCAAAGTGGGATCAAGTATTATAGCTAACAAAGATAGGGTGTTTACAGCTGTATTGTCATAGCCCTAGCCTCCCATAAGCCAATTGAAAGTAGAGAGGGTCGCTGGAGCTACAATTGAAAGTAGCGGGTTCAAAATATAATTTTAATGAAAGTGTATGAATCATAGGTATAACTAATTTTAAAAATTCTAAAAGAAAAATAAAGTCACATTTTACAAAAATTTCTAACTGTGATATCAGAGATTGACCAAAATTCCAACATTATTTGCGTAAATAAATAAATATATTCTATTAGTAATACTGGAGTAGAAGTTTTGTCAAGTTTGTTTGTTTGTTTGTTTGTTTTTATTATTATTTTATTTTTCTAAGAATGTTTTTAAATTTGTTAAATACAAATTTCACATCACATCCAATAGCTGTCTTAAGTCATTTTCAAATTCAACTTATCTTCTTTATTTATTAAACGTTTCAAAAAAAATTTAAAAAAAAAAGAAAAAAGAAAAAAAAAAAGGGAAAAAGAAAAACTACACTAGCAAAGGCATCATTTGCATCCACCTAGTATAATTATAAATATATATATAAGGGTACTCACGATTTTATGATCAAAATCATTTGCAATTGTGGTGAGTTCGTCGTCTGCATCTTTATTATGTAATAAAGAAGAGTGAATAGATGTCCTGATGGTAGTAAAAAGTGATCCTCCCAGGAAGCTTGCAATGCAAAGCATGAGAATGACTTTTCCCGAAACTGCCTTTATTAGCTTTACACGCATATTGCCCTTCTTTTACTCTATCCTATCTCTCTCTGCCTCCTTTAATTTCTGTTGTCACTCTGCCAAATGCCAAGCGTACGGATGATATCAAATGCTGAAGATTAACCCATTACAAAATATGATTGGTAATAAAATTCTTCATGAACCAAATTAATTAGCAGTATAGAAGCAAGTATAAGCCCAATTTGGTGCAATTTCTGGAGCTAGTTATTAACTCTTTTTTTATTTTTTTAAAATTTTATATATACATTTAAAAAATGAGATTAAATTCAAAATTAACATCAGTCGCAGACAAAAATGAAAATGTAAGCTCAAATTAGTTAAAATAAAAAATAAAAAATAAAAAAAAAAACTAAGTGAGAGTGAGTACCTGCTAATGACATACAATATCAAAATGCTTGGTCGAATTAATTGGAGGATATATATATATATATATATATAAGTAATATTCTCTTTGTTAATAGATAGGATAGATATATAGGTTTGGTTGCTAGGGGGATGGTATGCATGGCAGTTCAGTCATGTGGTTTTCATGTCTCAACAAACTGTCCACTTCAAATGACATATAATAAGAGATTTTGAATCCATTAGGGTTTCCTCAGCTAAGTATCACTTGCGTGTATGCATTTATTTACATATGTGTGAGACTGACAGACAGAAGCAGTCGCCCTACATTTTAGTTGTCTAAGTGTCTAAAGAGGGTACACCACAATTCATCTGTTTCACTTCCCATCTCATCCCCCATATTGTCATATTGTGTTAATGAGAAAACTTGAATCTGTAGTCACCAGAGTACCTACTACTCCTATTCTATAAGTCTGTTAAATTCTAAGATTGTTAGAAATTTCTTTCAAATGAATTCTATATTAATTATAATAAACTGAATAGTACTAAGGCTTTTAACCGTTACATTTACAAATATGAGAAACTCTAAGCCAATTAAGAAGCAATCCAAATAAGACAGCTCCTTAATTAACACTGCAAAATTAAAGAAAACAAGAAAATTGAACCCCATTCATATATAGATCAAGTAATCGGCAAATCAAAATTTTCTAAAAATTGATCAAATCACTCTTGATTGATTGCATATTGTGCCATACTACATATATGATATGATTATTATGCTGAGTAATATAATATTTAAATTTAATTTGAAAACTTAACACATTTTAAAATGTGTTCAAATTTAACTAGTTTAAAAAATGAGTCAATCTCAATCGAATTTTAAAGTTAGGCTCAAATAATTTAGTTTGTTTTACAACCCTACTCACAAAACATATAAACAAATTCAAATGTGCATCAAGAGCTATTGATAGCCAGTTAATTCACATACAATTCACTCAACTGAATCTTCATCTGATTTTGACAAAGAAACTTTGAGAAATTGATCGAAGAATTCCATTTAAAAAGATTTCACCTATTACCAAGGGATTTCTTGACCATCCCAGGCAAAAAACTTGCCATTATCATGACTTTTAGCACCATTGATGATACTTAAGAGCTTCTGCACTGAAAACTGCTTAGTGAAAAGCTTGCCTTCAGCTATATTTCTTTGAAATGGCCTAGAGAGATCAGTATCCACTGTGCCTGGGTGCAATAGAAGGCATATGATTGGATCTTTCTTTCGTGCAAATTCCACTGACACAGTTTTTGTCACTGCAAGCATCAGTAGATGCAGTTATCATAAATACACAATTCAAATTTAACAAATCAGTGCCAATTTACCCTGAATGGTACTTCAAAACTGGAGTCAGAATAATACCAAACAAAACACAATGCTATCTATATGAAGGTCAATTAATGGCAGATTTTCCTCACATCCCATGAAAATAAAAATAAAAAAAAGTATATTTTATTTTGATAGTAAAAAATAGAAAATCTAAATTAGAGAAACTTCAGAACAAACCATCATACACTGATTAAGTGCAGCCTTAGAAGATCGATATGAGTGCCATCCCCCCAAGCGATTATCCCCAATGGATCCCACTCTGGCACTTAAGTTGGCCACAACTGCAACATCTCTTTCAGTCCCATACCCTCCTCCAACCTTTAGGAGAGGCCACATGTGCTGCTCATACAAATCACATAGTATACAATTATATTCTGAGTTATTGAGGCCTAAGATGAATGATAAAAGGTGCAAAAAATCCTATTTAAATGGCATGTTATTCGGTCACCATCATCTGACAAGTTTGTCGGAGTGTGTCATATATGGATACTTGTCTATGAATTAGCACTGTCTAACCTCCATAAAAAACCTATCTTAGCTCAACATCTTCTTCCTCACACCCTCATGAATTGAAATGTCTATGTAACATGGCATGCGCCTAAAACAGCTGGTAAGTTTTTTAATACCCATATATGCGTACGAAGTCAATAAATGATGTTTTCTTCAGTTGAACAGACCAGTTGGGTGACATATCCACGAGCAGGCTCACTAAATGCATATCTGATATCCTTATTGTGACATTTTCAGGTAATTTGGAAGGCAACAACCTCTACTGAAATAATTTGTAGGAAGAAAACTACGAAATAAGAAATTTTATAGTTGGCTAAGTTAGTCAACCCATTGTGGGGATGGCTGCCATCTTTCTTTTGAAGATGGTCTCCAACCTTCGATGTGTTGCCCTGGGGTATGCCCTTGCATGGTGTATATTTTCTTATCTTTCCTTTTTGACTGACTTACTTTCACACACACACACACACAACAAAAAAAAAGTAAGAAAGAAAAATAGACATTTATTTGCCACAGACATGTGCTTCTGTTCATGCTTGATGTATCCATATACCTCCAATGCAACAAAATGGGACTTTGAAGAACATTATCCACTAAAATTATTCAAACCATGTATTTGATGCATTTTTTAGCACTCAAAAGTACTAACTTTCTGCTGAAACAAATGGAAAAAGCCATAAAAAATTGAATAAATTTTCATTAGTTGAGTGATCATACCTTTATCACCAAAATTGGACCCACAGCATTAACCTCGTAAGCCAGTAACAAGGATGATTTCTGTACTTTGCTCAACGATGTTTCTGTACTGGAAATTTTACATGATAAGTCTATTCATTTTTGTTGTCCAGCAAAAGGAAAAAGAACTTTAATGAATACTGGTAACTATTTGAATATATATTGCTGTTGATTAAGTTTATGGGTAAATTACATTGGTAGTCCCTGCATTTTTCTGCTTGTATCATTTTGGTCTCTGTAATTTTAATTAGCTCGATTTTGATCATCAATTTTATATTTTATGTCAATTAGTCCAATTGATAATGACGATTAAGGTTTTCAAAAGAAAATGATCACCGAGTTGGTTCAAGTTAACTCATTGAGTTGAACAAGTTTATAATTTTGCCTATAAAAGCATAACATATGTTGCTTATGTGCGCATTTTCCATTGAAAAACATTAACAATCATAATCAATTGGATTAAAATGAAACAAAATTATAAATTCAAGGTCAAAATTGAGCCAGTTGATATTATAGGGACCAAAATCACACAAGGTTAAGGACTATCAGTGTAATTTGCCCTAGGTTTATTGTGATTGAGAAAATCCTTGACCAAGCAATGAAGTAACAACATCTATACCTGGTTGGAAAACATCAGGTATTGAGAGAATGCCAGACGCATTAATCAGAAGGTTTAAAGAGCCATATCTCTCTCTTATGGATTTCGCCGATGCCTGATGTACAACATTATATAATGTGACTTGCAAAACTGAAAATAGGAAAGATTGAAGAGAAAGAAAATTTGGAACCACACAATTAACTTTCCAAACCCAAATGGTTGTAGGATTCCAAGTGTCTATTCTCTTAACTGACACTTTCACTAAAATATAAGCCAGTACCTCAATGACACCAGTCAACTAACTCAAAGTTTTTGTTAGAATAGGAAATAGGAAATATTAGAATAGTAAATAATTGGTTGTATTCTTATTCATTCATTTTTTGATTACTCAAACTATGCTTGTAATTGCTCAGTTATCAATATGAGGTCTAACTCATTCCCTAACTCTTTCTCTTCTCTAAAACTACATGGTATCAAAGCCAAAACCCTAGCCCATCCGTCCTTACCTTTCTTCTCCTCTGTCGGCAGTCCTCTCTTGAGTCCAGGAGTCTCGATAGCCCTTGTAGACCCTCCGACAGCCAGTGTTGACCTTCACCCAGTCTCCGACAGCCACCGTCGACCCTCACCCAGCCTAAACCAGCCTCCGACAGCCTTGCCCAGGCCTTCAGCAGTTCGCCTAGGCTCCCCGACAGCCTATTCAACTTAGGCGGCAGCCCCTCTGGCCTCCTAGGGGCCTGTCAGCAGCTCCACTGGCCCTCTTGGCCTCAGTCGGCTTCTCTCCTACCACCTAAGCTGCTGTCAGCTTCTTGGTATCATTGTTTCTCTCCTCGCGACTATCTCCTGTAATGGTTTCACCCTAGACTTTGTTTAAAACACAAAAACAAAAACAAGAAAATGGTTTCACCCTAGACTTTGTTTAAAAAAATAAAAAAATAAAAAAAAAAAAAAAAAAAAAAAAAAAAATGATGATACATTAAAATAATAATAATAATATATATTCTTTTGCTGATCTCTTTGTGGTCATAGTGTTTGCTATTCCTCCACTATCTTCCGAGTTTGTGATTGGCACTGGGTTTGAGGGTTACTTAGTAACATATTCATGGCAGATTTCACTAGTGAGTCCACAATCTCTTAGCCACCTAAGAGCGAGAGTTCCCTTATCCCTTCTACTATGACTGATAATCTCAACCCTAGCCTTAAAATCACCACTTCTCTATTCAATGGTCAGAACTATCTAGTATGGTTGTAGAGTCTGACTATTTTCTTAAAGAGTAGAGAGAAGATGGGGTATGTTGATGGCAGAATCCAGGCTCCCCTCACCACAGACCTAGAGAGAAGATGGGGTATGTTGATGGCAGAATCCAGGCTCCCCTCACCACAGACCTGAGTTATGATCAGTGAGAGATCACCGACTCCCTTATTATGGGTTAGTTGATACATTCTATGGTCCCGGAGATTGGAGAGGGCTATCTCTCTATGGGCACTGTCCAGGATATTTGGGAGGCCGTGACTACCACTTACTCCCGGAAGAGGAACTTCTCAAAGGCTTTCGAGTACGTCGCTCCATTGAAAGGTCGGTACAAGGTGAAATGACGATCCTCCAATATTTTACCTTCCTTAGCAATGGGTGAAAGCGACTTGATCACCTTCAGGATTACAAGCCTGTCTGTCCCACTGATTTTGCTGCTTACCGGACATTTGTGGCGCAAGAGAGGGTCTTCAAGTTCTTGGAAGGCCTTAATGTGGAGTATGATTCGGTTCGAAGCAGAGTACTTGGCATGGATGTGCTTCATTCTCTCCAATAAGCCTTTGCTTTTGTGCAAAATGAGAATAGTCGCCGCTCTGCGATGCTTCCTTCTACTACTCCTGATCGCTCGGCCTTGGTTTCTACAACCCCTTGCGATGGAGACCATGTGACTCGTGGTTCTTGTTCTTCCTCTGAGAAGGATAATCTTTTCTCTGACTACTGCCGTCGACCTCACCATACACGAGAGACCTGTTGGAAGCTGCATGGGACTCCTCCTTCTGGTGGCTAAGGAGACCGTCTTGGTACTTGAGGGGGTAGGTCTGGTCAGTCTAGAGGCCGAGGGGCCAATGCTCGGGCACATTATTCAGGCACTGTTGAGCCACCATCTTCTTCTCCAGTTGTCTCTCCTGCTGTTGATGTTTCGGGTTATCTGCCTCTGATTTTGAGATTACTCTTTGCCATTTGTTGGACCGTCGAGCCTCCACTTCTGCTACAAGTGCACCATCTTCTTCTTTTGCCCATTCAGGTAACTTGGCTTCCTCCCCATGTGCATTTCTCACTCATACGACTGTACCATGGATTATTGATTCTGGTGCTTCCGACCATATGTCTAGCTCCTCTAATTTATTTTCAGAGTATAAACCCTCATCAGGTCAGGAAAAAGTGTGTATTGCTGATGGTGCTATGTCCTCGGTGTCCGAGAAAGGTTTAATTCATGCTACATCTTCCCTCCCTTTGTCCTCCTTCCTCCATGTTCTAAATTTTGGTGTTAATCTTTTATCTTTAAGTCATATTACCCGTGACTTAAATTGTAGCGTGACATTTTTTTCCTGATCATTGTCTTTTTCAGGACCTCATTACGAGGAAGAGGATTGGCAGTGGTAGCGAGGAATATGGTCTCTACATTCTGGATCAGACCAACAAGTTGGCTCACTTATCTATTCAGCTACCATCCACCAAGGAAGACATTTGGTTATGGCACCGTCGCTTAGGACATCCCTCTTTTTTATTACTTAAGCATTGATTTCTTTATATTTTTGAGAAAAATAATGTGTCAGATTTTTAATGCGAGTCTTGTCAACTTGAAAAACAACACAGAGCCTCTTTTGCTCATTCTCTTAATAAAAGTTTAGTTCCATTTTCTTTAATTCATTTTGATGTATGGGGTCCATCCCGTTTTGTGTCTTTGACCGGTAAAAAATGGTATGTTACCTTCATCGATGATTATTCCAGGGTCACTTGGGTCTATTGGATGAAAGATAAAAGTGAGGTCTTTTCTGTGTTTCAAAATTTCCATAAAATGGTTTGTACTCAGTCTAGACAGTTGTAAAAATTCTACATTCTGATAATGGAGGGGAATATATTGACTCTAGCCTTGCCACTTACTTCGCCACTCATGGTATTATTCACCAGACTTCATGCACTAATACCCCTTGTAAAAATAAACTGATAGAGAGAGAGCATAAATTGTGTATATATTATGATTGATATATTGATTGATATATGTTGTCTTTTTCTGTCTATTACAAATGGTTCCTTATATAGATGTAGGTGTAGTGGATGGTGGTAGTGGTGTAGTGGGTTAGGTTTAGTGGAGTAGGTGAGGTGGTAATGGTGTAGTGGGTTAGGTTTAGTGAAGTAGGTGAGGTGGTAGTGGTGGTAGGTGATGGTAAATTCTAACACCCCTCAACAAAATAGTGTTGCAAAACGAAAAAATCACCATCTCCTTAATGTCGCTCGTTGTCTATCCTTCGAGATGCGGGTTCCTCGATCCTATTGGGGAGACGCGGTTCTCACTGCCGCTTATTTGATTAATTGTCTTCCTACCCAAGTTCTTCAAAAACAGACACCTCTTCAAGTTTTGTTCGGGTTTACCCCTTTCGGGTTCTCTATTCCTCCTAAGACTTTTGGCTGTGTTTGCTTTGTCCATAATCATTCATCCACTTGTGGTAAATTGGATCCTAGGTTTCTTAAGTGTGTTTTTCCGAGTTATTTTGCCACCGAAATGGGTTATAGGTGTTATCATCCTCTCACTCGCTAATGGTTTGTCTCCATAGATGTTATTTTCTTTGAGTCTCAGCCCTATTTTCTGACCCCCCCCCCGGTATCACAGTCATCCCTTCAAGGGGAGCCTTAGTGTGAAGAGATTCCTGTTCCTGTTAAACAGATAGCGGATGATGAGCCAGCAGTTGTTGAGAAAAAGGAAGCAGGCAAAGTTTATATCAGGGACAAGGATAGACAACAAGTCACCTGGATGCAAGAGACTACTTTTCTTCCTCTACTGCCAACTTCTTCTCCGGATGTGTGTCCAGAGTCACCTACCTCTACTGAGAGTCCAGGTAATTCTGATTCTAGTGCTTCTATTCCTGCTTTTTCAAATCTTGATGTTCCCATTGCCAATAGGAAGGGGCTAGGTCATGTACTCAGCATCCTATTAGTAATCATGTCTTTTATTCTCATCTGTCTTCCTCATATAAAGCTTTTCCATCTAAAGTGTCTTCTGTGAGTCTACCTACCAATTTTCAGGATGCTCTTTCTATTTCTGAATGGAAACATGCCATGATGGAAGGGATGGGAGCTCTCTCAGCAAGAGTGGCACTTGGGAGTTAATGGAGTTACTTAGCGACAAAAATTTAGTTAGGTGTAAGTGGGTGTACACGGTAAAACATAAAGCAGATGGTTTCATAGAACGATACAAAGCAAGACTGGTTGCTAAGGGCTTCACTCAGACTTATGGGGTGGATTACCAAGAGACATTTGCACCGGTTGCTAAGATGAATTCTGTGAGAATTTTACTCTCTCTTGCTGCAAATTTGGATTGGTCCCTTCATCAATTTGATGTGAAGAACGCCTTTCTTCATGGAGATCTAGCCGAAGAAGTCTATATGGATATTCCTCCTGGTTTTGCAGATGCTAAGTCCAACGGTAAAGCATGCAGGCTCCGAAAGTCTCTTTATGGGCTAAAGCAGTCTCCTAGGGCTTGGTTGGAAAGGTTTATTCAAGCTATGCTGAAATATGGGTTCAAGCAAAGTCAAACGGATCACACCTTGTTTGTAAAACGCTCCTCACATGGTAAGACCACAGCTCTTATTATCTATTTTGATGATATTGTTCTGACAGGAGATTATGTTGAGGAGATTCCTCGTGTGAAAGAACACTTAGCCAAAGAGTTTGAAATCAAAGACTTAGGCTATTTGAAGTACTTTTTGGACATTGAAGTAGCTCAGTCCAAGGATGACATCTTCATATGCCAGAGGAAGTATGTACTTGACTTGCTAAAAAAAACTGAAATGCTTGGAGGTAGACCATGTGATACACCTTTAGAACCGGGCCAGAAACTGAGTGAGGATCAAGAGAGAGATCCAGTG